ACTCTGTCTCTGGTGAAGCCTCTCACCGCCCCCTGCACCTCTGGCCTGCACCCCAGTTCTGTATGAAAACATAAATGTGCAAACAACAACTCACGATTAGAGAAAGAGTCAAAACTAGGTCGATTTGGGAGTCATTCACAGAAGCAATTATTTATGAGTGGCAATGGAGACTATCCAACCTAACAGAATTTTTCTGCAACAATATGGAGGTCTGTATCTGTGCTGGTTGAATGTCAAAATTCTAAATGCATATGAAATAGCCAGAAGCCTGTAACCCAAACTGTCCCGGTGCTCTACTCTGGACAGGTAAAAATCAATTGGTTTTGGAGTACAAGCTTACGGTAACTAATCTTGCCATGTTCTTCCATGCTTTCTTTCCTTAAAAATGGTAATATATTTTCTCTCATTTTTGAAATAAAGTAGACACACACAGGCCCATCCACTGCTCCCTTGGAACTGGAGGGCACTCACATTGTGTTTTATATAAGTGGCCTTTCTGGTGCACAAGTGGCAGGGCATGGAGTGCTCTGTAGAATCGGGGGGGACATCACCTGTGGGAAAGTGTTTCCCGAAGCCTTGTCAAAGGTGAATTCCTCTCCTTAACCCAAGAAAAGGACCTTCACACCCTCAGCTTCAGTGTCAGCTGTTTTTGAAAATGACCTTAGGACAATGCTGAGATAAAGGTGTCTTTGTTCTTAATAATCAAGCAGAGAAGCGGAATAGACAAGAGTATGACTGTGTGACTTAGCGTGGGAACCAGAGCCTCCAGAAAGACGCCCTCCTTCCACCCCACAACGTACCTTTATGCCAGCAAATAAGCACTTGAAAACACTGAAATTTGTGTCAGGAAGGGCTGTGGGCTCCCTGGGGCGTTGGTGATGGGCTTACTTTCCTTGTATATGGGGCTAGGCCAGTCGCAGGGCCCATAATGAGTCCGTGTTTTCGTCATCAGTGGTGTGGTTCATCAAAAAGCTGACTGGGTCAGCATCCACGAGAAGATCTGTCAACTGCTAATCCCACTGCGCACTTCCATGCCCTTCTACAACTCAGAGGAAGAGCGGCAACACGGCCTCCAGCAGCTGCGGCTGCGGCAGGTGGGTCCCCAGGGCTATTACAGCGTTAACAAAGGACACACTGTGACAAGGTCACACCACTGTTACCTCTCCTTCGGGCCCTTGTTTTGTGTCTTTGAGTCCTTAGCACCATTCTGTCTGTTATTCTTCACATATTTACTGAACACCACTACACTAGCCTCCTTGAGCTGCTAGAACAAAATACAGACAGGCTTCAAAAATAAGAATGTATTTTCTCAGAGTTCTAGGGAAGTCCAAGGTCAATGACAGGTTTGTTTTTTCCTGAGGCCTCTCGTTGGTTTACAGATCACTGTCTTCTTGCTGTGTCTTCACATCTCTGAGGTCTCCATACTCAAGCTTCCCCTCCTTTATAAGGACACCAGTTACATCGGATTCAGGGCCATCCTGATGAACTCATTTTAAATCACCCCAGTATTTAAAGGCCCTTTCTCCTAAGCTACTAGGAGTAAATTGAGGGAATGAAATCCTGCCAGAACATCCACATATGCCCAGTACTATGATAAGAGTCTACACACATTATAGAAGGTCCAGAAATGAATAATAGTTCCTAAGTAAAGGAGATCATGAAAACTAGCCCTTATCACCATGTCTCAGTTATTCTAAAATAATTAGCATTTTAAAACCATAGATCTAAAAATACCAGATTCATCAATGTTAGTGTTACGACAGTTGGACTGAGGCCTGAGATAGAGCTAGAGGTACTCCTAATATTAGCTAAGCAATTTCTCTCCCCATTAACTCAAATAGAGAGGAAGTTTTAGATTACTCTAAGACATGACAATTTTGCTAAACCAGAGTGTTAATGTAAATATGAAGATAATTATTCATTTAAAAACATACATTGAGTATTCGTTCCTCTTTGGGTCTTCTTGGGTTGGTCAAATAAATTATCATCAGATTAGTAGGAGAAAAGAACAAAAGTAGTAACAAACCTACAGAGAATCTACATTGAATTGAGGATTCTAGAAACAATGAGGCAACATGGGGGTGTATATCCTAAACTAAGGAATGGAAACTTTGGGCTCCAAAGAGAGAGGAGAGGGGCTCACCTAAGGAGAAGGTGATTCATATGAGAAAGAGCAGAAACTGCCATTAGGTATTTGCCATATAGAGAGGTTATTCAGATACAAAATGGGTAAGACCCCCCTGTTAATTTTTCTAGGTAGTTAAAGGGAGCAGTAAAAGTTTCTCTCGCGCTTCTAGGGCCTGGATTGGCCTCCACTCAAAATAATCCACCTGCCACAGTGGCACCTCCTGAGGAGGCCTGTTCTAAATCTCTTGGGGAAGGCTATCCTTCAGTAAACACGGAACTAAAATAAAATTAAAAGAGGTGTTCCTGGACCTGGAGGAACTCACAGTCCAGGCTGCCATTTTGTTTTGCCTGCTTTGAGCCTCACATTTCCTTTTGTACAGGCAGACTCACTCTGTGAGACTCACCTGTTCTTTAGGTGCTGGCTTTATGCCAGTGCACCTGTGCCCACCTGGCTTTTTACCTTTAGATTCTTGGACACTGTGATTTTTCTCCCACAGAAGCATTTGATTGAATTCTGCTACACTGTGGCCCAGAAATACCTCTTTGAGGGAAAACATAAAGATGCTGTCCCTGCAGCGTTGCATTCTCTTCGCTTTCGCATGAATGTGTATGGCCTGAGTTCAGTAGAGCTGGTGCCTGCTTACCTGCTGTTGGCCGAGGCCTGCCTTGGTAAGTAACTGACTTGGGACCCTTAAGAAGTGTGTGTTGGGCCCACGCCGGTGGTGCAGCGGGTTAAGATGCAGCACTGCAAGTTAACCACGGCCACTTCAGTGCAAATTCCATCCCCGGCCCCAGAGCTGACCCCCGTGGCACAGCAGACCTCTCCTGACCTGTCCACTGCTCCCCTCAGCAGTGTACTTCATCAGTCTGCCTGTTCTGCTCCCTGCTCTGTCTCTGGTGAATCCACTCACTGCCCCTGCACCTCTGACCTGTACTGTATGCATAAATGAATAGATCTTTAAAAAATGATTTAAAAAAAAAGTATGTTTTGGTGATGTCAGTGCCAGCAATGGTTGTGGCACTGAGACACCTTTAGCGGAAGAGTGGATTTTGTGCAGGCTGGGTAGGAGAGGTACAGACTTGGCTACTGCTGACAGAAGCCAGTATTCACTGGGTTAAGCGAAAGGACATATTTTAGGAAGCTGAGCGCTATTAAGGTGTTTGAGGCTAAATGAGGGACTGCAGATTGAAGCTGTCAGAAACTAAGGCTGGTGCTGTTTCTCTTGGGCCTTGTCCTTGTCTACTTCTGTCTCCATATCTGCATAATTTTCTATCTACAGGTCAGGTTTTTCTATCTTGTAATCAGAGAAGGCAACTACCCCCAAAATGTCAGGTATCGCCCAATTTACATAGAATATACATACACTCCAGGTAACAAAGTGGGTAGCAAAGACTGAGGTTTTAGAGGTTAAAGGTCATTTATTTTATTAAAATATCACTCAATTTGAGTTTTGCTAAAGCTTTCTCTTCCTCTGTCCTAGCACTGGCTCCCCATTCTGACTGGGGGCCAGTGGGGGGGCTCTGACTCCCACAGCGGGCCTCTTCACTGCAAGGACGCCCTCTTCAGCCTGCTCAGCCCTGACTCCCACTCTGCCCTGTCCCTCCTGCAGAGCTAGTGGGAGTAGCACGGGGTGAGGAGCTTCCACCCCAGTTCTGTTTCTCTCTGCAATAACCTGCTAAGGGATTTTGGAAACAAACAAATAAACCGCCCTGGCCTGACGCCCATCATTTCTCCTCTGGATTCATCTGGGTCCAGACATAAATCACAGATGTGCATCTTCTCTGCCTCCCTCCAGCCTGGCCCCATATACAGTATGATCTGGTCACTCCAATAGATAAAAGCCAAACTCCTAAAGGGACCTATAATTCCCTGCCCAGTTCAGCCTTTCTGAATCCTCTCATCTCTCCTCACGTACTTCCCCGTCTCCCTTTTGGTTACCAGGGCTTCTGTGTTCCTCAGAGTTCCTTTCTTATTCTGGAAGTTGTGGAAGACTCTTCTCTAGCCACTGCCCTCCACTCTACCTCTCCTCCCCTTCACCTAACTCTTATTCATCTTTTAGGCCCAAGAGTGACCACACCCTTGTCTTCAAGCCTTTTTCAAGCCCCCAGACTGGGTCCTATCTTTTTTTAATATCCCCACTTAGAAATCCCCTCCTTTTTCCTGAGCACTTACTTCAACTATACATCCATTGCTGAGATTATTTAAAGTCTGCCTCCTGCACTAGCTCAGGGAGAACTGGGGCTGTCCCTGTTCTTACTCCTCCTAGTGCCGTCACATCAGCAACAACACAAGTGCAGAGAAGCCACCCGACCTGCTCCCACAGTACTTGACACCTGGCCGACACAGTGTAGGCATTTGCTGAATCCTCTTCACAGGATTGTTTTGGATAGTAACTGCGCTTGGGTATAAGGAACATGAAAGTGCTTTGCCAGCAAGGCCGAAATGGAAGTGCCGTCTGAATGGAGGTTTCGTTGAAACAGTCACAGTCATTGATTTTCAGCCTTTTTGAAAATCTAAACACATTATGGTACACATGCCTCTTTCCCATCTTGGAGCATCCTTTAGGCTTAAGTGATGAAAATAATAAGCATTCAATTTAAAAAAAAAAACAAAAACTTGGAAATTGTAATCAACTAGAAGTGACATATTTAGTAACACTTCAGAGAACTGCCTTATTCTTCCTTCCTGCCAGCTTCTGGGCTGGCTCGGTTGGCCTTGGGCCTTCCTCCTGTGGCACTGACCCTGTTAGTGAGAACCAGGCAGTGAAATTTAAATAGATGTTGATGCCCTCTCCCATTTTTCCCCCCATCTTAACAATCTTACTTTAGAGTCATTTGCCTTTTTAATTAATTAGTTGATGGATATTTAAATTTTTCTATATTTCGGCTGTTACTAATAGGCTTCTGCGAGGACTTGTGTACAAATTTTTGTGTATCAATAGTTAAAGTGAATGAAAAAGCGAGTGAGTAGGTGGTGACTCTTACTTCATCATGTGTTCTTTGACCAGAGTATGACTTATGACCTGCTTTGCTTCTTTCGGGCAGGTCTGGGCCAGATCATTCAGGCGGAGGAATATCTATCTCAAGCCCAGTGGACAGTCCTCAAGTCAACTGAATGTTGCTACGCCACCCACTCTTTGCTACATCGGAACCTGGGCCTTCTCTTCATGGCTAAGGAAAACTATGAGGAAGCCCGTTATCATCTAGCCAATGATGTAAACAAGTTAAATTTTAACACCTGAATGTTTCTGAGGACAACTCTATTTAATCCTCCCACCCTATCCTCCAAGCCTTTCTTTAAAACTTTGCCTTTACAACAAACTCTTTGGTGGTGGTGGGGGGGGGCGTCTTAGCAAGAACACAATTCTAATGGTTCACTGAAGCCTGTCTGTTTCCTGACTGTGCACCCTGGCCACGTCACATCATTTCTCCAGTTCTCAACTGCTGAGGACAATAAAGCAAGACAGGGCAACATACTGGTTCAAAGGAAGGCTTTACTTCTGTCCAGCTCTATTGTCTCAGTGGTTACATGGTCAAATTATTTAACCTTTCTCACCACTGACAAGACAAAAATCATAAAATAGTCTTTGCCTCATTGGGTCATTGCAGAGTTTAATAATAAGACAGAATATGTGCAGCACTTTGGCTATTATTTTTTAAATAACTTCAATGTCTCTACTTCAGAGTGTGGTTATTAAATTTAGATGAGCTGGATGTATATGAAAGTGCTTTCTAAACTATAAACCCCTGTATAAATGTTAGATAGGATCATGAGGGTAATGATTGATCTGTTCTTCCAAAATTTATGAGGTGCCCATTAGGATTTCAGTATTGGATAGTATTACAAGAGAGAAGCTCCTGACCCCCAGCCCAGACAACCACTTTCTGCTCTCTATAGGCCTGCCTTTTCTGGACATTTCATGTACACAGAAATATCAGTGGTGGTTTGCATCTGAATTCGTTTACTTAGCCTAATTATTTTAAGATTCATCCATGTTATGTTTCTCACTCCTTCCTTCCCTTTGTGGCTGAATGTAGTCCATCCTGGGATGTATCACCATTTGTTTAGTCATCATCAGTTGATGGACATTTGGGTTGTTTCTACTGTGTGGCTATTATGAATAATGCTGCTATCGACACTTGGATACAAGTCTTTGTATGGACACATTTCATTCTCTTGAATATTTACATACTATTGGAAGTGTTGGTCATAAGGTAACTCTGTGTTTAATCTTTCAGAGCTGTCTGTTTTTCCAAAGAGGATGCATCATCTTACATTCCTACCAGCAATGTATGAGGACTCCATTTCCTACCCATCCTAACTAATAATTGTTATTTTCTGTCTTTCTTGGGAATAGTGATTTTAGCATGTGCAGAGTGGTATATCTTTGTGTTTTATTTTCATTTTCTTGATGACTAGTAATGTTGACCATCATTGGCATATCTTTTTGGAGATATGCCTATTTTGATCCCTTGCCCATTTTTAATTGGGCTGTTGTAAAAGTTCTTAAATATACTGGAAATAGGCCCTTTGTCAGAGTTATCATTTACAAAGACCACTCAAGTACTCTCCTTTCTGCTATAGATTTATTTTGCCAGTTGTGCATTTGGAACAGAGAATATCAGGACCTCAGGAGGCTACTTCCACCTGGCTAATATTTTTTATGGCCTTAATAAGTTGGATCTGGCAGACACACTGTACACCAAGGTGAGCTGGGGGACGTGGGAGCTGACCCTTAACACTTAGGCCATGTATCAGATCATGGCATCAGATCATTCACAAGAAATTTGAGACACAGGGAAATGATTTGCCCAAGGCTACATAGCCTGGTGCATGATATATTCCACTTTTCTTTCCTCCTGTTTTTCTTTTTTCTTTTTTTTTAAAGATTTATTTATTTATGCATAGAGAACTGGGGTACAAGCCAGAGGTGCAGGGGCAGTGAGAGGATTCACCAGGGACAGAGTGGGGAGCAGAACAGGCAGACTGACGAAGTACACTGCTGAGGGGAGCAGTGGGCGGGTCAGGAGAGGTCTGCCACGCCATGTGGGTCTCCTCCCAGGCAGGCAGGGATCAAACTCATGCAGAAGTGACTTTAGCTTCTTAGTGCTGTGCTGTAACCCACTGCTCCACCAGGGAGGGCCCTCCTCCTGTTTTTCCACTACCAAAATAGATTAGTCTTAGTATCTATGGGGTGATTGAAAAATGATGAATGATGGGTCAGTAAGAACCAACCTCTCCACCTAAACCACCATGTGCTCTGTCAGAGCCATAGAAGCAAGTCATGTGGGTATTCAGGGATGTGTGTTAGAGAAAGAGGTGAGGTTTTTACGGGAAGTTCATTGCTGAAAGGTCCTGTGAAGGGATCAGAGTACTTTAAACTTTCCATCTTTAGATCTTTCCCTGGTGGCGCAATGGGTTAAGTGCAGCACTATGAAGCTACTGCAGCCACTGCAGCATGAGTTTGATCCCCGGCCAGGGAGCAGACCCACAAGGCACAGCAGACATCTCCTGACCCACCCGCTGCTCCCCTCAGCAGTGTATTTTGATCAGTCTGCCTATTCTCCTCCCAACTCTGTCTCAGTTGGATCCTCTAACAACCACAACCCTCCCCCCCGCCCCCAATTCTGGCCTGTACTCCAGTTCTGTATGCATAAATAAAGAAATGTTAAAAAAAAATTTTGCCATCTTTACATGTAAAAGATTTTAAACTGTTTCCAATATAATAAAATATTGGTTATATTCATACTGTAATATCTCACTTAGCAAGCAGCCATTTCTGTGTACAGTACAGGCTGTGCTGTTTATTCGGATTTTAGATCCACTTCTGAGAAAGAGACATTGTGGTGTAGCTGAAAAGAAATGAGCTGTGTGGTCATCCAGACAAGATTTGAATTCTGGCTGTGCCATATAGCAGCTCTTACCAAAAATCATCAAGTGTGACCCTAACTTCTCTGAGCTTCAGCTTAGTTATCTATAAAACGGGAATATGATCCCACTGGGGATATTGTGAGAATGTGAAGGCTTAGTTGTATGTGCTCAAAAAAAATAGCAGCCATTGTAACCAGACCCCACGAGGGCTGTCCCCAAATCAGCCTGCCATGTACCCTTATGACCCATCACTTGTCACCCTCACTTTGGGTACCTAAGCTCCGCCCCTTGCCCAGTGCAGAGGGAATCTGCAAGGGGTGCTGCCCTCCCACCTCACTGCTCCAGGGAGTGAGGTCTGACCGGCTCCTCTGCTTGCCATCGCCTTTCTCAACAGGTCTCTGAGATCTGGAATAAATATTTGAACGATCACTATGAAGTTCTCCTAAAGAATCGCATCCAACATATAGATTTACTGGGCAAACAATTTGAGACTGATACCGGCTTGGGTAAGTGGCATTTCTCTCCTGGAAACAGAGCAGGGACTTCATCCCTCCTCACCCACAGAACTTGCCCTGAAGAGGGGGAGCAGTTGTCCCTGTCATGGGGTACATCTTTACCAACTTACCAACTTGTTGATGGGGGTGCTGAGGCATGGGAAGAACTCAGATTCCCAGTGTCCTGTGCATTCTTTCAGAGGGTTAATAAGGAACAGAGCCCTCTTGTGATTTCTACAGAGCATCTAAGTTTTTTTCTTGCATGTTTAGCCTCCAGTAAACCACCTGTGCCCATATCCCACCCACCTCCCTTCTCCACCAGCCCATCCTTTCCCCTATTCCTCTGGTGGCCATTATCCTTTCTGCCAAATTCAAATTTTTGTTTCTTCTATCATTTGTATGTAATTGTTTTGTGATTAATGTAGGACTAAAAACTGCTGAGGGAAATGTTTTTAAACTCAAGCAGAAGGAACAAAGGCCAAAGCAGTTTCGGGTTCAGTGAAAATGAATTAGGAGCTGTAGGAGCGAGGACCACCATGTCATGCCAGCAAAGCACAGAGCAGGTTCTTCATGGACCTGGCAGATGGTTCAAAAAGAGTCCTGGCTTTTATGATCTTTCTACATAATTTGTAGTGAGGCAACCAGGTGAGGGCAGGGAGGGGTGCCAGAGGGTTCTCTGGGTCTCCTGGCATTCTCCGCCTCTCTGTTGCACTCTGCTGCCCAGTCCTCTGCCGCACTCTGCCCTCATATCCTCATCCTCTGCTCCTCTGTCTCTCAGCTCAGGTGTGGCCACCTACACATGCCCACCATCAGGCATGTGTACTCCAAGCCCACACTTCCGAGCACCTTTTGCATTCAAGGCTACAGGTGACAGCCACAGAGGCCAAGGATGCAAAAGCCTGAGCACCCTTCACTACCCCGCTCACAGGCTCCCTCTTCTTACTATACAGCCTGATTCCAGGATGCCCACTGTGACAGATGCCCTGTTGGGGGAACTAAGAGAGCTGAAACTCAGTACTCTGAAGGGACAAACCTGAGCAGTGTTGGGGCCTGTGGGAGTGCGCACTTTCTATGGTTACTATGGTAATGCCATGCCAGCCAAAGCTGGAGCACCTGACGTGGCTCCCAGGTACCCAACTTGCTGTGGTTTGTGCCATCCTCTAGTGCCCAAAAGGCCAGGTGGGTGCTTAGCAGTCAGGGTAGGCTCAATGTTTCTTCTTTCTCCCCTTTAAATTGCAGATGAAGCCCATGAAGCAGAAGCCATTCGGATCCTGACTTCAATCTTGAAAATTCGAGAATCTACATCTGACAAAGCCCCCCAAAAAACCATCTTTGTTATGAAGACCTTGGCCATGCTTTACTACCTGATGATGAATTCTTCAGAGGCAAGTTTCCCCAGAAAAGCGGTGTCTAAAATGCAGTTAGAAATCGCTCCAGATGAATTCTGCAGTTTTGCTCTATTGCACTAGCTTTTGCCTTCCGAGTCAGCCCCCACATACTTCAGGTATGTGACATTCCTCATTTATTGAGTTCAGCCTCAGTAAGAGTCTGTCCCAAGGTATCTTGTGGAATCTGTCCAACTCAGAACTCTATGCCATGCAGCCCCAGGGTGGCAGTTTATTCGTGGCATCCATCACCTCTGTGCATACTAATGCTGGTGCTGACAGCCCTGACTAAGGCCCTACTTAGTGGAGGTGTCCTTGCTTGTATTCAGCTTATCACATCAAGCAGTTTTATCTGGGGTCCCCTGCCCCACTCAGCACAAGTGTGGCTGTCTGTAGCGTCCAGTAAGAGCTCAGTGGCTGGTGTGAGAAGCTGGCAAGGTCTGCCTGACATTTCTGGGGCTGAGCACACACAGGGTTTCCCAGTATGATGCTTTCCTATAACAATTTCCCTTTTTTTCACTGCAATTTTATTTCAGGCACAGGAATATGCCTTCAGAGCCCTCAGTCTAGCTAAAGAAAAACATCTCACTGTCCATGAACAGAGCATCATTCAAGAGTTACTAAATCTTATCACAGCTGAAGAAGCTTATTCTATTGGTTAGTAACCCATGAGTACTGTGCCAGGGCAATTGAGGGGTGATTGAACATCTCATAAAGTCCAGCATAAACTGTTTCCAGGGGCTCTGAGTTGTTCAAGTGCTCACCCTCTTCCTCTTGGATTCACATACAGCTGTGTCTTTATTCTTACACATTTGTGGGGGGATAAAGACCTCTAGGCACAGAAATCAGTAAAACTATTGTTTTTCATGACCTTTGTACTGGGCTTATCATGGCTTTGTCCAATTTTGAATAATGTGCTGTCTGCTCATGAATTTGTAATTAAACTTCAGCCCACCACATTCCAAAGCAGTCTCCCAGCGGTGTGTGTTTCACCAGTCTTTGTCAAAGAAGGGGCTTGAGAATAGAGCTGTGTTGGAGCAAAGTTTCTCTAGTCTACTGAAGTTAGATTAGTATTACTCTGAGGAAGATTGTGATTAAGATGTCCGTTACAGTTGCTAGCACAATACCAGAATACAATTCTAAAAATAAAAATCAACTAAGGAATTCAATAGAACACTAGAAGATCCACTGAATGCAAAAGAAGGTAGCAACAGAGGAATGAAAGACATGAGACATGCAGAAAGCAAGTGACCAAATAGGGGCATAAATCATAGGTGTTTGCCAGAGAAAATCCCTGAATTTTGCAAGGAATTCCAGTATGGAATGGTGGAGATGCCCATTTGTAGGGTAAGCAAATTTTGGTCAGGCTTTTTACACCATTAGCCTCTGTGGCTCTCACCTGCAGCCTTGATGTTGTGGAGGCTCTGGGGAGTGGCATGGGGCGTGATTGTGGACACCTGGAGCAGGAGTGGGCCTGCGTAAGTGTGCACACCTGAGCCCAGAGGTCAGGGCTGCAGGGCAGCGTTGCTCAGAGACGGAGGAAGGCTGCAGGAGGCAGCTACGCAGGGACAAGTGATGACAGAAGAGGAAAAACCATGAGAGAAGGCCAGAGGAGGACCACAGGAAGAGCTTAAAGGTTTGCTGGAGGCCTGGGGGAGGCTGGTCAGCCTCCTAGCCCCCAGCCTCCCTGCCTCGTTCCCCACTGCTTTGTCAGCCTGTGAGCTGGCACAACGCCATTGCAGGTCTGTGTCTTTTTTTTTTTTTTTCGGAGTTAATAATTTGAAGCAGAAATGAGCCATCAATTTCTGTCCAGGGTAAAAGCACTCTGAAAGCCCCCTCTGGCATAGGGACAGAGTACAGACCTCAGCGACAGACATGCCCAGGTTCAAGTCCCAGCGCTTTCTCATAATAATTTAGGGCCTTGATCCCTCCATAATCTCATTCATTGTTTTTGGAGAATGGCCCAGCTTCAGTGCCTCTGGTCACTTACCACATCCTTTTTCCCTCTGCTGCCCACCAGCACCACTTCCTGGGTGGATCTGCTGCTGGACGGCATCTACAAGTCAAGAACTGGTTTTATGGTTCTCACTTTAAAATCATTCACTCAGGCAGGTATAATAAAAATGTCAGAGGGTCCACCCTCCTTGCCGGTGCAACAAGTTAGGATGCAGCACTCTAAGCTGGCCACAGCTACTTCAGTGCGAGTTCCATCCCCGGCCCCAGAGGTGCAACAGGGCGCAGCAGACCTCTCCTGACCCGCCTGCTGCTCCCCTCAGCAGGGTACTTTGTCAATCTGTCTGTTCTGCTCCCCACACTGTCTCTGGTGAATTCTCTCACCACTCCTGCACCTCTGACCTGTCCCCCGGTTCTGTATGCACAAATAAATAAACCTTTAAAAAAAAATGTCAGAGTGCCATGCTGCCCCTTCAGGACACTCATCTCATGCTCTCAAGCATTCGTGGGCTGCACCCAGATGGCTATGAAGTCCCAGGCCCTAACTTTCTACCAGCTATATGTCACTTTTATTTTTCGCTTCAGTTGCATCATCGCTCTCCACTCGTCCTGCAGCCGATTTTTCATATCTGTAGGGCTCCAACCTCCTTGATTTTCACCTCCCAAATATAAACCAGCTCTTTCATGAACGCTTATTAAAGGATAGAGAGTGGAGAGGAGGATCAACAACTCTTTAGCAGGCAATTTAAAAGAAAATATTAGAACTTCCCTAGTCTAGAAAAACCCTTCAAAGTCCATTCCAGTCCACTCTATCTCTCTCCCTCCCCACATTCATTGGCTCCTTGCTTTCCTTCAGCTCATTCTCTCTTCTTTCCATCCCTGAATACTTTACTCATGAATCCTTCCCCACTGAATATACTTAAAAAGTTGCAGACACACTGGGAGATACTGTGGTTTCAGTTGTAGATAACCACAATAATTGGAATATCACCCTAAAAAGAGGTATAACATGTTTTTGGTTTCTCTATGCATGGAAAAGTTAGATTTACACAATGCATTGCAATAATAGCATTAAGTCTAAGAAGACCAGCATACATACCTTAATTAAAAAAATATTGCTTCATCTGTGGATACAATGAAGCAAAGTGCAGCCAAACAGTTATGATTATATGGTTTAAATTTACTGTCCTTACTGACTTGATTTTCCTCTTGTTTATAGATCATAATTTTCGGCTTTTCCCCATGTCTAAATTTGATTTTCAATCATTTTGCTTTTCTAACACTTGCATGTGAAGTCTATAAATTCTCCGTTAAGTATTATATTAGTTGATCCCATAAAATACAGTTTGTTTAAATTGTCATCTTGTTCTAAATAATTCTTTTTTAGAGAATCATTTAGAAGTATGATTCTTAATTTCTAGGAAAGAATGATTCATTGTTTCTTTGGTGTTGACTTCTGGTGGGTCTTTTTTATATCAAACTATGTTGTGTGAAATTTTGATTTTTAAAAATTGGTTGAGATTTGCTTTATGGTTCAGGGTATGGTTAAAATTTGTAAAAGTTCTGTGTGTGCTAGAAAAGAATAGTGTTACGGAGCATAATGCCTTATATATGCCCATTTACCCAAGTTTGTTCACATTTTCAAGCTGAAAATATCCTTGCTGAAATTTTCAATTCTGAGAGAAGTATAAAATCTACCCATATGATTACAGTAGTGTCCCCTCTTATCTGCAGGGGGTACATTCCAGGGCCCTCAGTGGACACTGGAAACCAGGAATAGAACTGAACCATATGTATACTTTTCTCCCCTATACTTATGCATCTATGATAAAGTTTAATAATCTGGCCCAGTAAGAGTTTAACAATGTGTAATAAAGCAGAACCAATATAACAGTATGCTGTCATAAAAGCTATGTGAGTGTGGTCTGTTATCTTATTGTGTGTAGTATTTTCTGACTGCTGTTGATCATGGGTAGCTGAAACTGTGGAAAGAGAAACTGGGGACGGGGGAGGCTGCTGTTTGGATGTGTCTTTTCTCCTTGCCATTTTGTCAATTTATATATTTTGAGGTTTTGTTATTAGGCAAATACAAATTCAAGTATTTTTCTAGTGAATAAAACCTTTATTTTTGTATTATGAAGTAGTTCTCTTCAACTCTAGTAAAGCTTTGACCAAGTCTATTTTGGTCTGCTATTATTATTGCTACGCCTTTGGGGCTGAATTGTTTGTGTTTCAGCTAGGTACCCAAGGGAAGGCTTGGAACTATAGTTTCTAGTATCACTTTCCTTTCTTGACCCTGGTTAAATTTATCCTATGAGGGCAACTGCACAATGTTTGGAAGCTAGATAGAGGTGCAGCCTTTAATCTTCCTGAGAAGCATCCTCTGTTGCTTTCTTGGAGGCAGCTTGCCAATAAAAGCCACTTGCTGATCTTTGGCCACTGATCTGTATGACCGAGCCCTTTCAAAGGTGTAAGCCTTTCATCCCCTGTATTAAGTAAAGCTACTAAAAATGCCTGGAGAGGCTTCCATTTGCCCCCACTAAACCTCTGACTAAAATCCCTGCTTTCTTTTTGCTTTCGCCATCTACAGCTATAGCTATGTGTTTTAGATCTATCTCTTATGAGATGTTTTTATACCTCATTTAGTCCATTTATATTTTATTTACATACTAAATTATTTAGCTTTATAGATATGATCTTTATTTGTGCCTTCTATTTATCCTGGATTGATGGTACATTTTTTCTCATCCCATTTTCTCCTCCTACCCTTCCAACACTAATTTGCATGTTATATCTGTGCTTCTGATCATTTAGTGATTATCCCAGCAATTCAAATATTCATTCATACTTTATCAAAGTCTAAAGTTCTTCAAGATGTTTACCCTTGTCTTGGGAAATGGCAGGTCTTTAAAATCTTTTCATTTCATTTACTTCCTCCTAAATATAATTACTGTTACTTATTTAAAATATCTTATTTTTTAAAAGATTTATTTTTATTTATGCATACAAGAACTGGGGTACAGGCCAGAGATGCTGGGAGTAAGAGGATTCGCCAGGGACAGAGTGGGGAGCAGAACAGGCATATCTACTGAAATGTACTGTTGAGGGAAGAATCGAACAAGACAGGAAGAGGTCTGCTGGGCCATGTGGGGTCACCAACCTGGCCAGGCATTGAACTCAAGCCATTGTAGCAATAGCTCTGCGACTTAACCCCTTGGCCACCAGAGAAGCCCTCAAATAAACCTTAAACCCATAAATTATGGTTATTATTTTATAGAGCCATCCTGTTCTTTCTTGCTTTACCCACCTTCTGCCTTGGCTCATGTTAATGATAAACCCCTGTATTTCCTACAGTGAGCATTGATTGATGGTAAATTCTCAGGTTTTCTTTCTAATCTTAAAGTATTTATTTTGTCCTCATTTTTGGAAAACCTCGAGGAAATGTAGTTTATTTTTATACATGACATAGTGATGCAGGACATGACTTCAACTCCAAAGACCTCTGCAAAATGTGGTTTACTTTACAAAAGGGTGTAAGCAGGCTGAAGAGAACCAGGGGTTCTGGTGATGATGCTTCTCTGATCTTCCCATTGGGCATTCACATCTTTTCTAAGCATCTTCAGTAGCATTTGCAGGTGTGGCGCTGAGGGGTCAATCCTAGCTTAATTTTTTCTACCCGCAAGTATACATGCACAGTTGTAAGTTATATCATGTTGTCTAAGAACCTTTGTATAAGGAAAATTCACGTGAGCGGTGGCTCTGCGGGCCACTCACAGCATTTCATCACCGCCCACCTGTGGACCTGTCCGAACACAGGTCCCTGGTGACCAGGATTAGAACAGAGCTGCTCTGCTGCCAGTGATTCCCACCACAGACACGTGAAGTCCAGCACCTCTCAAGAAGCAGAGGTCACAAAACAAACGGCAAAGTAAATGCTTCAAAAAAGGTGAGGCAGCATTATGTGAATGGCATCACTGCGTTTGACAGAAAGTGCCTTTGCTCATATTCCTCAAGATTGTTGACAATGTGACTGAGGCAAGTGTTTTATTTACTATAGATGCACACAGTGTCAATAATGAATAACTTGTACCCAGCTTTAAAAACATATGAACAAGGTTACCACTGAGACAGGGTATAAAACCAGGGGTATGTATTATGAACAGTGTCCTTGCTTACAACCCTTTTTAAGAATCACAAAGATCCCAGAACATCTTTTTTTTTTTTAAAGATTTATTTATTTATTCATACAGTACTGGGGTACAGGTCAGAGATGCGGAGGGTGAGAGGATTCACCAGGGACAGAGTGGGGAGCAGAACAGGCAGATCGACGAAGTACACTGCTGAGGGGAGCAGCGGGCAGGTCAGGAGAGGTCTGCCACGCCATGTGGTCACCTCCGGGGCAGGCGGGAATCGAACTCATGTGGAAGTGGCTTTTAGCTTCTTAGTGCTGTGCTTTAACACACTGCTCCACCAGGGAGGGCCCGCTCCCAGAACATCTTAATGAACAAAGCAAAAATTTTTTTCCAGTGAAAAAGGAACTTCCATAGTTTAAAAGTCATGTCAGAAGACACATGACTGTGGAATGAGGAAGGAAGCAGCCAAAAATGACCACTGGAGTTTTCTATAGTTTTTCTGTTTTGAGCAAGTGTGTCCTTGGGTAGGAGGCCCATGGAGCGAAGGCAAGTGTGTGGGGCAGAGATAAGAATAGGAACTCAGATTGGCATGGTGACTTGGAGATAGTTATGAGGCATTTGAGGACAGATAAAAAGGCAGGCAACTGGACAAGCAATCTGACACTAAGAAAAGCCGCCTGGGTTCAGGAGATAGATTTGAGAGTATCATGGAGATGGTCGTTAATGCCCGGGAAATGGAGAAGAGGGCCTAGGGCAAAGAAAGATGAGGAAGCAAGCCCGAGAAGATACTCCCAAGCAGAACATGTAGTGGAGGTGGACCCAGCAGGAGGCTGACACGTCAGTTTTATTCAATTTATGTAAAGAGTTCCCATATGTGAACACATTGCCCCTCTGCTTTGTCACTTTCTCTTTATTGATGCCCATTGTATTCTGAACCATTTGAAAGTTGCAGACATGATGTCCCTTTATCCCTCAATATTTAATGTATTTTCTAAAAATATGCTCTTTTATTTTGACATGTTCTCATCAGCTCCATCACCAAAATCATGAAATGTACGTTGATACGATGTCATCAGGCAATACAATTCAGA